GCGGCTCACTGCTACAAATAGTAAGTGGGAAAACCATCATCTTCTGTAACCTACTTCTTTCTTCCAGTTTACTTCCAGTAGGAATTCTGAGCTGCGAGATCCAAGTATGCAAGTGATGCCATTCAAGGAATGAGCATCTCATTCAGAAAGCTTGGCTGAAGCATCAGAAGGGGTTTTCCACATCTGCAAATGTTTCTGTGAATGCAGAGCACTTTCTGAAATGAGAGTGTGACCATCGAGCAGTGAGTTACAGGCTGTGATTTCTTATTAATTCCATTTATCTTGCTAAAACTCAGGCACTAGAGAAAAGGGAGAGGACCGAGCTCAGGGTGACAGTTTGTCTTTCCCCAAAATGCTTGTATAAAGCACTGTTATGCATTCAACTTGTCTCAGCTCAACAAAATAAACCTGGAGAAATTCACCATCTGAACTGGGAATGGGTCAGATCTCAGTGTGGGTGCCTAGGACAACAAAGATAACTTTGCATGAAAACAGCTGTTACGACAGCCAATTCTTCTCTTTTCCAGTTCCATGCAAGTGCATCTTGGGAAACATAACCTGGCGCTCAAAGAATCGACACAGCAGGTGATCAGAGCAGCTAAAATCATCCGTCACTCCGATTTCAACTCTGACACACTGGACAATGACATTATGCTCATCAAGCTTGCCACACCAGCCCAGCTCAATGCAGCTGTACAAACAGTTGCTCTGCCCACCAGGTGTGTGACCGCAGGCACCGAATGCCTCATCTCTGGCTGGGGAAACACACGCAGCAGTGGAAGTGAGTACCCCGTACCTCCCACTACAATTGTGCAAGCTTACCCACCCTTCAGTGTTACGTTATCATGGGCCGGGTACCACTGTTGTGGATGGGCTCAGCCTCAGCTAGTGGTGGGTTAGCTCTCATTTGCTCTGTTAGACACGGGAAGGTTCAAGCAGCTTCTCACTGAAGCCACTCCTGTAGTCCCAACACTACCAAAACTTTACCATGAAAACCCAATACAGTACCAGAAAAATCAGTGCGGCTGCAACGTAGAACGCTGGACCCATGGCTAGAACCGGTCCATCCATCCATGCTGTGATTACTGTTCAGAGAAGAAGTGACATCTGCAGAACCAGGATGTTCGGTGGTTACTTCTCTGCTCAGAGAGCTCATTGCCAGGCTCTGAAATTAACTCAGAGATGTTATCAACCATCTCCCCCTATTTCTTGTAGGTGCATATCCAGATACCTTGCAGTGCCTGAAGGCTCCTGTACTCTCCTCAAGTGCATGCAGCAGAGCCTATCCTGGGGATATTACAAGTAACATGATATGTGTAGGATTTCTGGAGGGAGGAAAAGACTCCTGCCAGGTAAAGTATCTGTCTCTCCTTTCACCTGTTTCTCTCCTACCTTTTTCCAGCACAAGAGGCTTTCGTATTAGAGAATTACTAGACTCACTGCCTTGTCGTGTCCCAAGGTTATTGGGTTTTTTAACAACAGTGGAGGCGTAAGAAGGAAGTTCCTTAGCGCGTGAGGCTGGGTTGCTGACACTCAGTCATTGCCTCTTTCTGAGACAGCACTAACTCTGCACCAAATTTCTAGAAGCAACCTTCTGCACCTCAGGGTATTAAAAATGGAGGAGCACTGCACCAGTCATCACTGGGACTTTAGAGCTTAGGACACAAATGTTACTTTTGGACTTACCAAAATGAACTGGCCAATAGGCCAGGCAGTCTGGCAAATGGCCATACCTGACAATCACTCTGCATTTGACATGGGCCAAGCTCCCTGGAAATACTTGGCAGAATAATGTTTAAGACACACGCAGCCTAATCGTCTGCCAAGGACTCCATCTGTCAAAACTAGGCAGCTTACTCATCCTTAGCTGGAGCTAAAGCAGGCACAGTAGCATCAGATGTAGAGTGCTAATCAGAAATGACCTCTGTAGAACTTCTGTATAGAACAACCACGATGGAGCTCCCTCAGATGCCAGTGATATCTGGGATCTCTGGCTCACCACTTGCGCTGGTAACACTTGCTGACCATGCATGTCCTTTATATGCACAGGGGGATTCCGGCGGTCCTGTAGTCTGCAACGGGCAGCTCCAGGGCATTGTTTCCTGGGGTCTTGGATGCGCACAGAAAGGCTACCCTGGCGTTTACACCAAGGTCTGCAATTACGTCTCCTGGATCAGAGCAACCATGGCTGCCCAGTGAGAGCCTCCCTTTCTGCATGACCTCCTTTTTCTCCTCAACTTTTTCTTCTGTTTTGGGACTGGGCATACAAAATCTATGAAAAAATAAAGACTTTCAGGCACCCCTTCTTTGTGCAGCATTTCTCTGAGTAGCCCCATCGGCTGTGATGTGGAGGACAGGCGCAGGGAATGGCACTCTGATAAGGTATTTAATCTCTGTAGTGCCTCTCACCTAGCAGGATCTTGGAACGTTTTGTAGACTCATCTTCAGGAGTTTCAGACAGTTACATGCAGCTGCTTCTCGAGCAGAAACCTTTTCTGCTTGTCAGCATATCTCAGTGCTGTAAAACATCTGAAAACCATTGAGAGAGCACCCTGAATAACATGGGCAGCATAAACCTGCTGTAGAAACCCACAGGCAGCAACACAAATGCTCCCCATTGTCTCCCACTCCCATCTCCAACAATATGACTTAAGATTCCCTAATGGAACTTCCCTGAAAGCCCTACCTGGGGAGCAAAACAATCCCTGGCTAAGACTTGTTCTCCTCATGTGTGAGTGCCACTGCAGCTGCTGGCTATGCTTTTTTTCTCATTTAACTGCTCAGACTGGGCTTGCTTAAATTTCCTGGAAGAGTCAAAAGGACAGAGCTATTCCTGGGTGCTGTTTGTAACTCCCACTACCCCCAACTGGCGCTGGAATTGAAAGTCCATGAAAAAGCTGCCAAAGTTGCCAGTGTGATGCGTAGTTGTCTCCTAAAGAAGAAAAAGGAAACAGTTTGAGTAAAATGAAAGGATAGAAATAGCAGAGAATAGGTGAAATGTGGGGAAATTCAAAGGAAATCTGACACTGGAGGAAAAGGAGAGAAGAAAAGTAAGGTATGAAGGAGCAAGTGCTATTTGCCTACAGGGAGGTCTGTGCCCAGCTGTCTCAAATGCTCTGTCACTGAGATACATCCTAGGAAGGTCATTGAGATAGGCACAATACACGAAGAGGATCACATTGTAGTTTTGTGTCCCATTGCTGTTCAGCCTGGAGAAGAGAAGCTGCGTGGAGACCTCATAGAAGCCTTCTCAATATAGCGAATAAGAAAATCAAAGACTCCATTTACCAATAGAAGAAAACCTCCAGGTTAGAAGGTATAAAGCATCAGATTACCCCCAAAACCTCTGCTGTGAATACACTCCAGGATGTACACCTCGTGCTGCAAACAAGTCTCTCATTGAATGCAGTGATGCTGCAGCAGAATGCCGGCAGCTCCAGGGGCAGGATTGGCTAATGGAAGGCAGCTGTGTTAGATGCGATCAATGGCCAAGCAATGGCAGGTTGCATTTCTAGAACTCTCTGTTCCCAGTTCAAGTATTTCAGTCAGCCATATCATCATTGGACTCAGATAATCTAAACACATTAGCCCAGGCTGATGCAAGGTCCTGGGAAAGGGTCACATGGTGAGACCATGGGCTGACAGAGATAAAGCTTCCCAGGAGCATGAAGCAGAGGAGTTTCTGAGGCCAGTCCTTGTACATCTCACAGAGCTTGGTGGCAGAGGCACAACTAATTCTCTCCTCCCAAATCTCTGCCGCACAGGAGGAGCTGATTGAAAGACATCCCACCTGACCCAGGAACATCAGGTCCCTGGTTGCTGGAGGCCAGCAGGGTGTCTGGGGAAGGGAGGGGTTTGCATCTTTTGCTCTCTGTATCTGTAATGGATGGTCAGAGATAGGCTCCTGGTTTAGGATGTTCCAGTGCAGTGGTCTCCAAAGGGGGCTGCAAGCTCAGTTGTACGCCCATGGAGGTGTACTAGACAATCCACAGGGGTGTGGGAAGAAAACATTACAACTTTGCTATTACACAGAAAACATTAGAACTTTGGTAATGTATGCCTATAATTCAGCATTATAGGCATATAATTTCAGCTACTAAATATAGCTATACTTGGGGTGGGTGCTCAAAAATAGTTTACTGATAGGGGTGTGCAATCGTAACTGTTTGGAGACCACTGTTTTAGTAGTTTCAACAAGTACCTTACATGTTCTTTCTTATATTCTGCTATAACATCTGCTGCCAACTCTGCAGAGCCTTCATGTTGTTTTTAATTTATTCAGTGCCAGGGTTTCCTTCCCCTTTGGATCACACCCCAGCAAATTAAACTTGTGCTGATGCTCTCACAATGATGCAGATGTGGAGATTCTCACTGATGGCAGCAGCTACACAGTGGAAGAAAAACAAAGAGCTGGATATGTAATGGTAAGCAGTACCCAAATATTAGAAACTAGAGCACTGCCTAGTAATGCTTCTGTTCAAAAGGGAGTTAATAGCTTTGACTTGAGCATGGAAAAAGAGTCACCATTTATACTACTGGTCCCAAGCATTCATTTGGAGTGGTGCATGCCCCTGGGACAGTTTGGAAAGAAAGGGCATTGTTACATTCACAGGTCACTCCAATAAAACATGGATCACAGATGATGAAACTCTCACAAGGAGTTCTGCAGCCGAGGGCCAGAAGATGCCAGCAGCTGACATGGGTTTTCTGTCGGCAGTGGCTGCAGACCGCATCCCTCTGAAAGTGAAGTGGAGGGACTGAGGCTGGGGAGAGGCTGGAGGAGATCCCAAGGTGTAAATGAAGGGGTTTGAAGTCAGCGCAAGGGAGAGGGGTGCCCTGAGCAGCCCCTGTGGGCAGGCAAATGGAGCCACTGCCGGGCAGGGCAGCTCCACCCGGGCCGTGGCTGCCCAGGCGTCCGTCAGCTGTGTTCCGACCTTCCCTGGCCATTCAGTCTCACAGACTGGAACTTCTTCACCGCACCCTCACGTTCTTATGTCCTGATGCCGGGCTTCTTGCGCATCTGTCCCTCGGTTTTGACAGTAACTGCTCTGAACGTGCCGTGACGCTTGGCTCCATAGCTCTTTTTGCGGGACAGAGTCTCAGGTTGGGAGTCATCCCTCTTGCAAGCGTTTTCTCTGCTCTGGGAATTGTGTTGTTTGTGGTGCTGTGTGTACTGCGGTTTGTCTCCGTGGGGGTTTTTGGCTTGGAGCTGCTCTGCCTGGGGGTGTGGGGTGGTTGGCATGTGGAAGAGAGAAGGGAGGCAGCGGTGAAAATGTTGATATGCCTAGACTGTCCCAAACTTTTGTTCATATAACTATCTTTCCCTGTGTTGCTCAGTGTTGGTATGCACAGCTTCACTGGCACAGATCTTGCCTTCTTGGGAGGAAGAATATGACTTTTTATCTTCATTTGGTTATATGTAGGGAGAGAGATAAAAGCATCTGTTACCTGTCACCATCAGTCCATGCTCCCTATGGTCAGTCTCCAAACCGACAGCACACTCCTAGATGAAGCATTTTTATAGCTAGGGTCATAAGACACCTGGGAGAAGCTTCCTATAACAATAGTCAGAGGAATACAAAATTAAGAGCTCAGCATCCTACTTCCCTCCCTTTCAGAGCAACTGTGACGAGCACAGCAGAGACCAAAGTGGATATTCACAACCAGACCAGGCTACAAACAGGAACACTGGTCTGTAGTAAGCAAGTTGCTCTCAGTGCAAAGGAGTTACTTGTGGGCTTGAGGTTTGTTTATCATTCTGGGACAGGAGAAAAACAGTTGGGAGGAAAGCTGCATAAACGCTGTCATGAAGTTACCAAGTGCAAAATAACTGCATTTAAAACCAGCTCATAAAAAAAGTATTATTTTTTTTCTTCTACAGGAGAAAAATGTCGGAATTAAAAATCCAGGGATAGTGTCTACACTCAGAGGTAATTGGACTGTCACACAGAAACAGGCAAAGGAAGGATGTGGCCTGTGGTTCCCATGGCAATCTTTCACAGTGACAAAAATGGGAGGGCGGAGCCATGGGTGGGATTGGTTTTTGTAGGAGGTTGTATCACTGTGGGGACAGATTACCCACAATGATACGTTCTCCAGGAGGCCTTTACAAAAACCCCTTTGTGCCTTGTGGGAGGGTTAACCTGTGTTAAGACAGCTACAGTGAACTCTGCAGCTCAGCAAGTATGTTCTGCCTTAGTTTTTCTTGACAGACCTGGTATACTAGGACTTCCTTTCATCATCTGAGAACCAGCCCTGCACTCTATGGAAAACAGGATTCTGAGGCACTGAAATAATTTTCAGTAAGGCAGATGATGGCTGCAGGTGCACCTAAAGCCTATCCGAGTATGAGAAGCAGAGAATTAGGCTGGTTTGGTTGTTTATTGGTGTTTGTGTTTTTTCTCTTATGACATGATAATGTTTGCAATAGACAGTGGTTCTTTATTAATGATAAGTGATGAGAGTGTTAGAAAAAGAATTCTGACATCTAGGAGCCATCTCTCAGAGGCACTATGCAAAATACACTGTTTCTATGATTCTATGATTCTATGATTCTTAAGTAAGTCCAGTGCCCACTGACTGACTCCTGCCTGTGAGCACAAAGGTTTTCCCCAAACCTTCTCCACACTGTCTCAGTGGAGTTCTTCCTAATGGATATCAAGGGTTTGTCTCAGACTAGCCAACTTATTCTTCTGGACTGCCCTTGTGTGAATTACTTTTAACCTATCAGAAAATTGAATGGGATTGTAAAAGACTATTCAGGATGGCTCACCTGCCATTGAAAGGGGAAATAGACAGATTTTAGTTCAGTGCAAAAAAAGGTGAACAACCTATGTGAAAAGACATGTGACTACGACAACCACAAAGCAAATATTACTTGATTATTAACTCCCCAAGGTGCAGAATGGAAGGCTTCACAATGCTTAGCTTACAAGACTGACATCTAGCCTCCTCCACTCTAGGCACATCTGTATGGTTTCTACACCTGCAAAAATGAAAATAGCAGGTTCACAACAGCTACTGGTTGGGCAGAGAAGTGATTCAGAGCAGTCTGCAGAGGAGGATTTGGGGGTGTTGGTTGATGAGAAACTTAACATGAGCTGCTTCAGTGTGTGCTTGAACCCAGAAACCACCCATGTGCTGGGCTGCATCAAAAGGAGCGTGACCAGCAGGTTGAAGGAGGTGATCCTGCCCCTCTACTCTGCTCTTGTGAGACCCCCACTTGCAGCACTGTGTGCAGTTCTGGTGTCCTCAACATAAAAAGGAAGTGGAGCTGTTGGAACAAGTCCAGAGGAGAGCTATGGCAGGGGAGCCTGAAAATAGACTGAGAAAGTTGTGGCTGTTCAGCCTGGAGAAGAGAAGCTGCATGGAGACCTCAGAGCATCCTTCCAGTAACTGAAGGGGGCTACAAGGATGCTGGAGAGGGACTCTTCATCAGGGACTGTAGTGATAGGACAAGGGGTAATAAGGAAGTTAAATAGGGTAAGTTCAGTTTAGGTATAAGGGGAAGGGAAAACATTCTTCCCTGTGAGGGTGCTGAGGCACTGCCACAGATTGCCCAGAGGAGCTGTGGGTGCCTCATCCCTGGCAGTGTTCAAGGCCGAGCTGGACAGAGCCTTGGGTCTACTGTGAGGTGCTCCTGCCTATGGCAGCGGATTGGACCTAGATAATCTTAAGGTCCTTTTCGACCCAAACCAGTCTATGATTCTATAATTCTATATCAATGAGATAACATGGAGACTATAGAAAGGTTGTAAAATAACTTCAGATGAAACGTAGCCAGTGAAAATAAGTATCAAAAAACTCTGGAAATTCTTTTATGAATTATTATACAGATTATATAACAGTATTTCAAGCCAGTTTTCAGCCAAATCCCGTCAGACAGAGATTAAGGGATCTTGGGAATCTTTGGGATTTCAGATACAGTAAACACTGCTTAAGCTTCTGCTTACTGAAGTCAGCTGCAGTGCTTTTCTTAGCTTATAGTACAACACTTCATCACTGTGACCACAAATAGCTTGACTTTCGGTGCTGGCACAAAACTTACAGTAATAGGTAAGATATTTTTGTTTTCTCTTTTAAATCACTTCAAATCCCAGACCTTTTCTTTAGAGAACTTCACTTCAACCTTATCGTCCCTTTCATTATAAAACTGGTGGGTTTGTGATGTGCTAGTAAACCACTCTACTTTAAAGACTAGACTAAATTTAATACTCTAGGTAGGGACACACTTTTCACTTTGGAGAACTGAATGAATGCCTTTTCAGTGAATAAAAAGTTGACAATTGAAAGAACTGGAATGAGGAATGGGTAAAAAAATATACGCATTTCATAAGTATATTGTCTTAATCTGTAAAAATCACCATTTCACAAAAGTACAACTATTTTCCATAATGCTAGTTCTTCTGGTGCTATAGATGATGAAGGACAAGTCAATGAAAGGTTATTGGTCTGGGAAGAACTGAGCTACAGTAACACTTTGGACAGGTCTAGAAAACAAAACAAAAATGACTTTGGATCTTTCCAGGGTAAACTAAAGTATTTGTTAACTCAGGTAACCAAGAAAAACAAATAAGTGTACTAGCATCTCCAGCTGATAAAACAGAAGCCACCCAAGTTTATAATAAGCAATGCTAACAGCTCTCTGTATCAGTTTAATTCCAAGTCTCCACACAAAACTTAGCAAGTTTTTCCAGAAAACAGGCTCATCAGGATGGTGGTAAAAAGATCATTCAGGACAATGATCTTCCTATTTCAGAGGAGACGCCAAAAGGCCACTGAAAACTACAAAAGTGAATATATCATTCATTTCAAATAAAAATAGCTCTCAAGGAATGTTTCGTTCTGGGCTACACATCTGGGAGAACAAGTCTGCTTCTGATAAATGACAGTGATCTCATTGTATTGCTTCTGGAGTCAGAAGTATTGATGTCTCAGGCTTTCATATCATAGCATTCCACTACAAATGTCTACAAGTGATAAAATTCAACCTCCACAAAGTCAGTGATCAGCACATTATTTGAAATCCAGTGTGAATCCAAGGTCCCTGAGCTGATGAAAATGAATATACTGATCCCTCACTGACCACAGTCAATTATGCAGCTAACCTTAATTATCATAGATAAGAGAACAAGGAGAATTCCTTCCAGTGAAGGAGAAAGGGAGGGATGTTCAGGAATCAATCAAATGGGGACAGCAGACTAAGATTCTGTGTATTGAAAGTTATTTTGTGTATAAAAAAAAAATAAACGGCAGATTTTTAACATGAGAAGAATATTCTCGATGTTGAAAGAAAATGAGGCAATTTAGGAAATTTTAATTGAGAATAAGCAAAGAAAATTATTGCCTCTGAATATGGGAAATATTTTCTAATAGCACAGGTAGATAAATAGATAAATGTCCTCTAAACTGTAACAATCAATTTGTCTAAGCCTGAAGCAAAAGGACTGTGAAAGAGGTATTTTTGTGACTGAACTCACCTGGTTAGACACACAGATGTGGTAGTGTTCCCTTTTCCTTACAGACATCTCCCTTTTGTAGGGGACCTTAAATGTACTTTGTGTTTCTTCATTTGCTGGTACTACATGAGGGCAGGGTTTAGTCCACAGGCTTGGCTCAGACTGACAGCAGAGGAGAGGTTTTCCTGCAGCTGCAAAACAGTGTGAATAATGCAAGATTGTCCTTTGGCAGAGGGACAAAGCTCACAGTCATAGGTAAGACAGAATTCAGATCTCTGTGATGTATGTAATACCGGTTTAGGGGAGAAGAGTATTCTTAATTAGCAGTAGAACAATGATCATTTTTCATACAGGCATGCGGGCAGGATTAATGCTTTATTGGTTGCTTGTTAAAATGAGATGCACTGATATGGAAGTGTAGGAATTGCAGGCACAGATTTTGAGAGCCTTCTATTGCCTTTCTATTAACGTACTGGGAACATCATGAAGGAGAAAGGTAGAAATAATTCTATTTCCTCCAATTCTCCAAGAAAACATGGAGGTTGGGGATGAAAGATTCTCCTTCTCTGTGTAAGTTTTTGCAGTTCATCTATGTAAGAAACGCAACATTTCAGAGGTAGAGTGTGGATTCTTGTGTCTGCTGAATCAGATCAAAATAGCTGGTACTTTGCCCCCTTCTCCGTAGATGGTGGGCAGGCTGCCTGGAGTTGCTTTTGGGCACTGGCTTCTTCTAACAGTCCTTCTCATGGCTTCTAATTCTCAAAAAGCATCATATTCTTTTTCTCTCAGTGCCCTTTTCTCCTCTATTCTTTCTCCTTTTCAATATTTGCTTTCTCTGCCTTATCCCCTCCGAGGAAAGGATTTAACATCCCCTATATCAAGGCACTTTGGAATCAGTGGGCAAAAAAAGCCTTTTCCATCTGCTACTGTCACTGTATGTTATGCAAACTGTATATAATGTTATAGCAAAATGTAGAAATACACACAGGTGCCTGCTCCTTTAAACAGCACCATTTTAAAGAACTAAATGGCTGGCAAGAACATAATCACACTGTAGGTTATAGTCTGATTGTATCTAGCTCTGCTTGTTACCTTTGGAGTTGGTGCCATGCTCAGAGTTACAGGTAAGTAGCTGTGATTAACCCAAGTGCTCAATGTGGAGAACACTTAAAAATTTCCCTTGCATTAATGACAGGCAGCATATCCACAAATGATCTTAAAATGAGAACAGGAGTGAAAACTAACAAGAAATCATGAAACTGACCTTGCCATGATGAGAATGGAAGAACTGTGGTATTTTATCTCTTGGGTGGGTGAAGAACGTGTGATAGAGAATGTATGAGTTTATGCATGGAAATCATTAAGCATTATGACAGCATCTGCCACAAACACTGTGGAAGATCAGAACAGAATGGGCTGTCAATAGCATTTATTTTTTTCCTGATTGTCACTGCTCTTGCTTGTACCAGTCTCATTATTCCATTTCAAGCAAGCTCATTTTCTGGCTTTCTTTGTCTTTCCAGTAGTTTTATCATCCTTTCTGTCTGCCTTTTTCACTCGCCTTCCTCTTTGCCTTTTCCTTGTGTCCTCCCTATAGTTTTCCATGTCTTCACTCACTAGCTCTTCAGGCTCTGAGCCAATGAACTTCTGTCAGAGATACTTTTAGGTTAGGAAAAAAAATTCCTGAAGCCAAATACTAGAAGGGAGCAGTGAAAGTGATCAACCTCTCCTCATATCCACTGTAACCTAACAGTTGAAAGCAAACGCTGGGGCTTAGAGGTCAAGATCTATGCAAGATGTAAGTCGCTCCTAAGTCTACTCATTCTCTCCACTCTAGAAAGGAGTGATCAGGAAGAACATCTACAATTTGTAGTGTCTTCACACTGAAAAGCGGTAGAAGTTTTCCCTTTGGCACTTCTGATTCCATGTGCAGTCTGGTGGGTTTATTATGCTAGATGAGTAAAAACATCACTCTAATAAAGACAGGTTGGGGAGAGGTGGCTTTTAGGGTCACTGCATAGTTTCTGAGTAATACCTTGTTGCCTTGTATGTCCTTTGGAATGTAGAAGTCTGTTGTCTTTAGTCTTATATGTAGGTATTGAAGGTACTAAGTACTTCAGGACAGGAGGCAACTTTTGGTTTGTGAGCATATAGAAACTTGCATCAGTTTGGGAAGATGTGTAGTCCAGGGCTTCTCATACCTAAATAAAATAACATAAAGATTTATATATTTTATACTCTTAAGAAGGATGGCAAGTTAAGACAGAAAGCAAAACTTGTCCCAGGCAGACTCAGGTTTCCTTACTTAAGAGTGTTCTTCGCTTCAGACAGTGAGAAAGATTAACTCCTTCCTTTCAAGTCTCCTCTCAGATGGGGGGGTGGGGGTCCCAGTAGGGTATCACATAGCAGTATAATTCTGACTGCTGCAATAATCATCATGGCTTACTACATCTTCAGGAATGTAATTCAATCAGTTGAAGATGCTTGTGCCGTTTAACACAGACCCTGAGCTACTGGCACAATGTTACAAATACAGGCCTTATGGCACTACTGGGTACTTTTCTGCCTGTCTGCTCAGGTTCTTTTAGTTTTCCTGTTCTTCTGACAGAGATAATATTAGAAGTGTAAACACTCATGCATTTCTGTAGCCAGATCATTTATTTTTCTCTGTAATGAGAGAAGACAAATGCTTTCAGTTTCCTGGTGTCTATATATATCTAACAGCTATGAATGGTCTAATAGGCAGTTGTTAAAAAGCCATATATATCAGCACTAATTTTAAGCAGTTTGTCACTGAAGACAGTTATGGAAGCTCTGGGCCATATTGCTTTCTGTTTCAGGGAAGAATGATGAAATCATACCTCCAGCTGTGGCCATCTTTTCCCCTTCAAAGGCAGAGATCCAACAGAAGAGCAAGGCCACACTGGTATGCCTGGCCTCTGGTTTCTACCCTGACCACCTGGATCTGGTCTGGAAGGTGAACGGTGCTACAAGGACAGAAGGGGTGGGGACAGATGAGTTTTCCACACGCAATGGGAGTACCTACTCATTGACCAGCAGACTGAGGATCTCAGCCCAGGAATGGTTCAACCCTTCAAATCGCTTTGAGTGTGTTGCCAACTTTTTTAAGGATGGAACACTGGAATCAATACACAAATTAATCTATGGTGATGCTGGTGAGTAAAAAATCATGTATCACAAACTAGAAATCACAATTTAAAAGGGTGTGGGTTACAATGTGAAACATATCTCTGTACAACTTCAATACAGGGTGTGGTTATGGCACAAATATTTATGTAAATATGTAGGTATCTGCATATGTCACTTCATATTCCTGGGACTCTGTATCTACATTATCATTGTACAGCTATAGTTTTCAAAGTTTCTTTCAGATTTTTCCCTGAGGAATTCCTGTATTATAGTAAACGTGCACTATTACAAAATCTATAGTATAGTAAACTTAATTAGCTGGTATACTGTAAACTGAACTTCAAATATTGGTACTGTTGGAATTGAAGAGAAACATGACTTTCAGTCCCTTTTTCTCTTTCAGGCTGTTCACTCACGGAAGGTATGTGTGTCTTCTCACAGGCAAATATCTGTATGTATTTTAATCCCGGTTTTGCTGATGCGAAGTACAAGGTTTGTGAGACTTCAACTAGAATAATAGCTTTTACTTCCCCATCCAAGTGATTTGTGCTTCAGAATTTTTACCCATGCTTCAAGAGGTTTGTATGTGCCTGCTGTATGCAGCTGTGGTTTGGAGGGGTTTAGCTCTTCTTTATGATTCTCTTGGTATAACAGAAGAAATTGTTGCATCTCCCCATAGAGTATAATCTGCTCTTTTTATCATCTCTTCCAGTCCTTAACACTGCCTTCTGTTGGGAAGCTTTTTGCTCAGCCATGAAAGCAAAAATTCATACTCGGCCAAGTGACTATCACATTAAGATTCAGAATCCTGAATGTTTCTTAGATTCAGAATATTTCTCATTATAAGTCACATTCCGCTCCAGACTGCAAGGATATCTATATCCATGTGTGCATCTTTACAGAGTCCTGGTTTTCACCAACTTCTTTTATGTTTCAGGAATCTTAAGGTTGAACCAAGACCACGTTCAACTGCAATTCCTTAAGAGTGAAAAATCCACAAGAATTAAAGTTCTAGAGACTATGTTACTGTGGGCTGCGTAAAACTTCCCTGATACAGCAGCAGCACTCACAAGGCCACAGACAATAATGCATGAAAACAAAATGTGTATCTTGTGGCTCAGCTTAAGTGGAGTTCCTAAGAGGGATTCACATGAACAGCCTAGTTTTTCAGTAGGTGTGGCAACACAATGGTTAAACATTCCCAATCAGGAAATACTTTCTTAGCATTAAGCCATTCTCTCTCTTTCCTAGCCTTGCTTTCTCTTGGTTGTTTGAATCACAGTGTTCTTTCCCATCTGCTACTATGTCTTATCAACAGAGCCATTTCATTTGGCTCTAGTTCCCATGTGTCACCTGGCTAAAGATTTCAAGGGGTTTTATTTGATTAGAGCTACATTAGATCTAGTCTCTTGTGATGAAAATGCAATGCACAAATGATGTTTGATTTGCAGAGTCCTACTTGCGGTATGGAAATTCTCTGAAGCTCACTTACCTCATTCTCTGTGGCAAAGCCTTGCTCTACGCGGTTTTGGTGAGCGGTCTGGTGTGGACAGTCAAGGTAGGCTAGTGTGCCACTTGCAGATTGAGATTACTCACTAATACAAGGGTCAGTGGGTACAGAAAAGATCTGTTCTCAGCTGAATGAGGACCTGTTCATCATGCATTCTGCCAGGCTTTGTGCAGGCTGGTTTGAAAAATCACAAGTGATGAGTTTTCTGTTTTTCCAGAACTCAAATAAAATCAACGCTATCTAGCAGAGAAATTCCTCCTCAAAATACTCTTTAAACACATGAAAAAAAATGAGAATTCAGGACAACTTCTCCAGAAAATAAAGAATGGAAATATCAGATATATCACACTTTTCTGTAGGTATTGACTTATGACTGCAGTGAGAGTAATAAACAGGGGGGTTCAGGAGATATGTGGGATAAATCTGAATGAAGATTTACAAAGAACAGTGGGCTAAATCTGAACAAATGGGAGATATATATCACTATTTACATAGTGATAAACTTACTGTCTTGCAGACAAACAGTCTGATAGACTTTGAATATTTGTGCTGATTTGGGCTGGTATAAATTTAATTTTCTTTATAGTAGCTAGAATGGGGCTATATTTTGGGTTTATTCTGAGAACAGTGTTGATAATTGAGGGATGTTTTCACTATTGCCAAGCCGTGCTTACTCAAAGCCAAGGCCCTTTCTGCCTGTCACAACACCTCACCAGCAAATAGGCCCAACTGGGATGAAGATGTAGATGAGTCGCTTTGTGACAGGGTTTAGTGGTGATCTTGCCAGTAATGGTTGAACTTGATGATCTTAAAGGTCTTTTTCAGCCTATCTGATTCTATGATTCTATGTTGAACTAACTACAGCAAATACTTTTAATCATTAAGTTGCTCATGTGGCTGAAAGGTATTTCTAGTGAGAGCAGTGGAAGCATCATCACTTGTTTTAGAAGCAGGGCTGGGAGATGTATTTTAGAAAGTGACCTGCTAGAGGTAAAGGGTGAGTATGAACACAACCTCAACTACAGTTTAGTGTCTTTTTAAAAGGATACTAGAGAGAGTAGGTTTTGTACTTTACTGGATCACAATCATAGAATCACAGAATGGTTGAAAGGGACCTTGAAGATCATCTGCTCCCACACCACAAGTCTCTCCATGAGCAGGAACATCTTTCACTAATTGAGATTGCTCAGGTAGATGACATCGCAGCTCTTCCCTTGTCACTGGTGACTGATGCAGTCACTCCATTACAGAAGGCCACCAGATCTAACATACAAAGTTATTCAGTGTGTAAGTAAATAATCTGTACAGGTTAAGACACAGCTTGGTGTAAAAGGGGAGAAAGCATGGACATTCAACATGGTTATTTCTGTTGATGCTCCCAGGAGACACAACAGTTGAGATACTGATGAGTATGGTCTATTACTTCCTATATTGTTTATTTGTTCCTTTTGCCTATTTTCTTTTAACTATATATTTACTCTGTTTTGTTTTCAATTAGGTTGGTGGCAAGTTTTATAGAGAATAAGTGAAGAACTGTCGTAATGAATGAATGAAGATGTGGCCATCAGCAGGAACATAGCAAATTAGAATTTCTACTTTTCTATAGCACAGGATCTATCCTTCTGCCTAAGAACTTCTGAATTTCTTGGTGATTCAATGTCCATCTCCTGTTCTTTCCACTTTGTTGCAATCACTTTTGGGTTTTCCCTATACTTCTATATCATATCGTATCACATCGTGTCGTATGTATCTTATAGTATCATATCTTTAAAATTAACACCTTGTTAATGCTCAGAGGCTGAAAACCCATCCTTGTATTTGGAATAAAGTTTTAGCTTCTTTTCCATTCAAGAAGAGTGAGTTACTGGTTTTTATTTTGGTGTTTTGTAGCAATAATATCCTACAACACAACTTCCTGTGAGTGTTGCCAATTTTTTTTTAAGAATGGAACACTGGAATTGATACACAAATTAAATCTATGGTGATGCTTATGAGTAAAATGTATGTGCATATGGAGGTCATCCTCTGTAGGTTCCTATATCTAGAGTAGGCAGTCATTACTGGGCATATTTCTTGCCAGGCTCCTATACAACTCAGATCTGTCAGTTCCCAGGAAACTGAGACCAAGAACAAGAATCCAATCCTGGTTTTCTCCAAACTTGCTACGCCATGTAATTCTGATCCCCACACCCACCCTCTATTATACAAGTGACTGCACAAACAGAGCACTTTAAAAGAGCTGACGATATGTGGGCTCAAATAATATCTCCTATTTATTTTCTTATGGTTTTGATTGCAGTGTCTTCAAAGGTAAGTTAAACAATTTGTTTTCCTCTCTTGACAGTGCATTTGTTTATCTATACATACGATTGCGTATACAAAGAGAGATGTATTCTGTGTGTGAATGTCTCAATCTGCCTTGTGTTTGCTTTTGCTGACAGGCACAGATATTCATGCCTGGATGCATGATTGTATGCGTGGACACATCCATTCATGTTCTTGCTGAATACACGTGCATGCATGTGAACATCCAAATTCTGTCTACTGTCATGAAATCTTCCATGAGACTGACTGCTAGAACTCAACATTTCAGTATGAATAACACCTCTTAGAGCAGCAGACCTACCTGTAGCACAAAAGATACATTGATATTTTAGTGAGCAGTGTGGTAAATCACTATCTCTGCATTCTGTAGTACATTATCTCCTTAAATATATCACAGAGTTATTATAAATTATATTCCCATGAGAAAGACCCAAAATCCAGTTTCATTTGATGCCTCCAACTTTTAATTCTTAGGATCAATTCTTTATCAGTCATGCCAATGTGAATGTGAAAATTCAATCACTAGTAACGTACAGCTAAATACAATCAGTAGTTAATGTGATATTTCTGCTAAGGGCATCCAAGTTATAGCTTGTGCAAAAGAGCCCTGAACAAATTATCCTAACCAGCAGTATGGAAAAACCCTGTCCTTGTCAGGTCAAGTTTTATAAATAGATGTTTGTTTTCTCTGTCATTTTTATTGCTTTTCCCCTTCCCTTTCAGCAAACAACAGGAGAAGTGCTCCAGCTAGGAAATCTGTGTCCATTGTGCTCATTTTCAAGTGTTTTGAATGGGACGTTTGTGATGGGGCTCATGCTTAGGTCCAAGAGGAGGAACAGATTCTACTGTGTACACAATTGTCCTAACTCATTCTAGGTTTACAGGAGACTGTGGTAGTGCTTCGCTCCCCCTCTCTCCTCGACCCACCTGCCTCCCCAAGAATTCTTGTTAGCCTTTGCAAAACTGAAAGAAGTTGGATGGCTGGGCACCATACACATCAAAACGTGTGGTCTTTTTAAAGTAAAGCTTAGAAAAGAAAATTAGGGAGTATAAGAAAGACCAAGAAAAGCAAAGAAGGCAAGAAAGAAAAAAGGATGCAACTCAGAAAAAGGGAAGAGCATCTAATCTGTGGGGGAGGAGAATGGGGAACCAGTGTGGTTCTTTAAAGCTGTGTTTGTGGGCATCATTTCTGTGCAGCATGGACCACAAAACTGAGGGATTGCTAATCCTGGAGAGTGTTTCTGGAGATCTTTCATCCATGTTGCATCTCACTAAGCTATTAGTTTATGGTGCAAGTTAAACAATTGGTAATTCAGAGGTAGAGCACTCTGAAGTAAATGGAGAATCATACTTAAGAGTCATAACTTTTATATATAGATGTATCCTCAATAGAGACAGTAATAATGCAGGCCAAGACAGAGTACTTGTGGGGCTTTGGAAGCAGAACAATTGAGAATGCAATAGCAAGACAAAACGAGTATGAGGCATAGAGTGAAGATCCTGAAGGGAGCTTATGTAGAGCATACCCAGGGTTTTCACCAGAAGGAGGAAGTATCTCTGAAGGGCTCAGCAGAAAAAGGTACCTCAGAATCAGAGCAGGTGACTTGCAAATAGTTGCTTGAAAACATCTCTTTAAGGGAACAGCAGCTGAATTTGAGCAAAACAGGATGTGGTTTGACATTCACTCAAAAAGAACCATTCTGATAATGCATCGGCCTCTCACCACACCACCCCTCCCCAGTCTTTCAGGATGTGGCTCAAGGTAGAGCTCTCTGTTCACCATATTACAGTTGGACAGAAATAGTGACACATATAGGCCTTAGGAAACCTGGTGGGGGTTTTGTCTCATGTTATCAAACGATCTTGTTACTGGAGTCTGTGGATGGGGTTTGCACCTGCAGCTGCTGTTTCTGTTGAGCAACAGAGAGCAAAGGAAAGAGTTGTGGGTTTGGGGAGTTACCGACCTGCTTTTACAAAGTGATGGAAAATAGAATCACAAAATACTTTTTGTTTTGTCTAATCAGAGTCTAATCTTGACTGTGTTGTTCTTATTGAGCTGTGACAGAGGTACAAGTATGAGGCATAAAGAGGGAGATGTGACACACATAGTAGCCTATACTTCGCTATATAACCAGAGGTAAACTGGACAGTCAAAGCAATTCCTATAGAAATGGCAATCTACATGTTATTCTTTGAATGTGAATCCATTCTAAGTTCCATACTATTTTGTGCTAGCTCCCTTTCCTCTTTACAGCCTCCATGCACATGGAACTTTTCAGCACTGTGTCTACGCACTTGAAGACCATGGTAAAGGCTCCTCTCTTGCCATTTTAATCTCATCTGTGGTATGTTACTTCTGCTTAGCTTCTATTCTTAAATCTTTGCCCAGGCCTCTTCTTTCTGTTGACAGTCATAGCCATACAGATTTCTTGTCATTAGAGTAACCTTTCCAAGCAGAATGAAAAGCATTGTGGCTTTCACTGCTTGATAACATTCAGAGAGGAACGAGTGAACTGGAGACACTACCTCTGAAGTATTTCAAACCTAGACATATGTATATTTCAAGAAACAGTTCAGTGTCAGGAAAAAAGGTGGTGTAGAGGACATTACCTTCTGTCTGTGTAGATTGCAGTTTCTATCTCCTATTTTATGTCTGATTTTGGTTAAAAATCTTTACTAATTGCTTGCATGAGACAGAGATGACGCAGTGAACAGGACAGGTGAGTTCAGCAGTTAACCTGCACTTCAAAGACCTGTTCTACCTCTTTTGCACCAACACCCTGGCAACATCTGGTTGTGAACAGGCTCTTGGCCTACGGACCCTCTTTCTGTGCTGAGAGCAGCTTCCTTCTGAGAGAAAGTGCTGGAAAGAAGTTTATGTAAAGAAAGGAAGTGACTTTGAAGTGCTGTGTTCAAACTGCTGGCACAGAAATAGACAGCGGAGTAGTTCATCTTCACAGATAAAATATCCAAGGAGAAGTCTGAGAGGTTCGGCCGTTGAGCTTTGTATCCAGCGTGAAAATCACCCTCAGTTTCCTGATTTGCACCTACGGAATAATAGATCAACTGCAGCCCCTTCCCTGGCTGCTGCAGATACCAGAACATGGAAATGTGATTATCATTTTGACTGCATGTCAGAGTAGTTTTGTCATCTTCTTTCAGCACAAGACTGGAGGTTTGGGTGATTCCAGCTCCTATAAGACAAAGCAGAACAGAATCATATTAGAACAAGTAAGCTACATTCTCCCAGCAGCAGAGCAGCTCTCATGGCTTTACTGATTCCTTACTTGCTCCAAAGAAGCACAAGGACACACACCAAGCTGTCCACATCCTCATTTCTGCCCCAATTGTCATTGTGCGTGCCCTTACAAGGGCCTTATATAGGTCCGTCTCACATGCTTCTCCTAAACCAATGGCATCCATCTCTGTAACAGCTAAATCTCTGCTGAAACCCAAGCTCCTTCCTGCAGCAAATTTCAGGCACTTTCAATTCAGTGTTTGTTGGAAACACACAGAAAATTTCAAACGGACTCAGACTCCTCTTCCTTTGGACAGTGTATTAATCATACGTGAATAGTAGAATGGGTTAAGTGTTCAAGGGGAATACATGGATTGACCCCCCATGTTCTCAGTGTTTCAGGACAGGATTTCAATCCAGATGAACCAACTCTCTAGTACACTGTGCTGTTGCATATCAAAGTAACCTCATCGCACTCTGAGCTTCCCAAAGAAGAGAAAGGGGAGAGGGAGGTGCTGATGTCTTCTCCCTGGTGTCCAGATAGGATGCATGGGAATGGCTCAAAGCTGGGTCAGGAGAGGTTCAGACTTGACTTTAGGAAACATTTCTTTACCAAGCGGGTGGCAAGCACTTGAACAGGGGCTTCCCTGAATGGTGGCTGATGGCAGTGGCTTGTCAGTTTTTAAGAGGCATTTGCACAGTGCTGTTAATGATGTGCTTTAACTTTTGATAAGCCCTGAAGTGATCAGGCAGTTGGACTGGATGATCCCTGTAGGCCCCTTCCAACTGAATTCTGTTCTGTTCTATCCTGTTCTCTTCTGCTCTGCTGTGTTCTCACTGTGGATCTCATAGAAACTGGCCTTAAGACATGCAGTCTGCTGGGTAGTCTCACAGGAGTGACTTGGGACATTCATGGAGCTAGGAGGGAAGGAACCCAGGAATAAAATTACAGGATGTTTCTTTCATGAGAAGGACACACACATCCATAAGAGCACTAAAGGTGTCCATAGGGATGCTATGAGCTGCCCATGCATCCTGGTTGTTAAAATGTTGTCCAGATGTTTCCCTTCACTTGCCCAATATGAGTTAAAGATTTTTCTTCTTCTTCTTCTCACAGGCACCCCCCTCCTGTTTCCAGTTGCTGGCCCCTTGGACCAGCGGCCTCCAAAGCAGTTGCTGCCACTCAAGACTTTCACACCCTCCTTTTGATGGCAGCATAACCACCTGGAATCATAGGACTTATGATTAGGGCAATTTCTGAATAAATGGCAATCTACATGTTATTTTTCTTGAATGTGAATCCATTCTAAGTTCCATACTCTTTTGTACTGTCTCCCTTTCCTCTTTACAGCCTATGCACATGGAAGTTTTCAGGATTGCGTCTACGCACTTGCAGACCATGGTAATAGCACCTCTTTTGTCATTTTAAGCTCATATGTGCCATGTTTGTCTGCTTAGCTTCTATTCTTGTATCTTTGCAGTTTCTATCTACTTCATTTTATGTCTGCCTTTTCTTAACAATCTTTACTAATTGCTCGCATGATTTAGAGGACCCACAGTGATCAGGACAGGTGAGTTCAGCAGTTAACCTGCACTTCAAAGACCTGTTCTACCTCTCTTGTTCCAGCACCCTGGCAACATCTGGTTTCTGGGCCTACGGACCCTCTCCCTGTGCTGACAGTAGCTGCCTATTGAAAGAACATGCCGGGAAGGAGAAGTTTATGTAAAGAAAGGAAGTGACTTTGAAGTGCTGTGTTCAAACTGCTGGCACAGAAATAGACAGCGGAATAGTTCATCCTCACAGATAAAATATCCAAGGAGAAGTCTGAGATGTTTGGCCGTTGAGCTTTGTATCCAGTGTGAAAGTCACCCTCTAATTCCTGATTTGCACCTACGGAATAATAGATCAGTTGCAGCCCCTTCCCTGGCTGCTGCAGATACCAGGACATGAAATCGTGATTATCATTTTGACTGCATGTCAGAGTAGTTTTGTCATCTTCTTTCAGCACAAGACTGGAGGTTTGGGTGATTCCAGCTCCTGTAAGACAAAGAGGAACAGAAACACATTAAAACAAGTAAACTACATTATCCCAGCAGCAGAGCAGCTCTCATGGCTTTACTGATTCCTTACTTGCTCCAAAGAAGCACAAGGACACACACCAAGCTGTCCACATCCTCATTTCTGCCCCAATAGTCAGTGTGCGTGCTCCTACAAGGGCCTTATATAACTCCATCTCACATGCTTCTCCTAAACCAATGGCATCCATCTCTGTAACAGCTAAATCTCTGCTGAAAAACAAGCTCCTTCCTGCAAAAAATTTCAAGCACATTCAATTCAGTGTTTGTTGGAAACACAGTTTGAAACTGACTCTGACTCTTGATCTATGGGACAGAGTATTATGATACGTTGAAAAATAGAATGGGTTAAGCGTTCAATAGGAATAATTAAATTCAAATTCCAACGTTGTCAGTGTTTCAAGACAGGATTTCAATCACGATGAACCAACTCTCTAGTACACTGTGCTGTTGCGTATCACAAAGTAACCTCATTGCTCTCTAAGCTTTCTAAAGAAGAGAAAGGGGAGAGGGAGGTGCTGACCACTTCTCCCTGGTGTCCAGGTAGGATGCATGGGAATGGTTCAAAGCTGGGTCAGGGGAGGTTCAGACTTGGCTTTAGGAAACATTTCTTTACCGGGAGGGAGGCAAACACTTGAACAGGGGCTTCCCTGAATGGTGTCTGATGGCAATGGCTTGTCGGTTTTTAAGACGCCTTTGCACAGTGCTGTTAATGATGTAACTTTTGATAAGCCCTGAAGTGATCAGGCAGTTGGACTGGATGATCCCTGTAGGCCCCTTCCAACTGAATTCTATTCTGTTCTGTTCTATCCTGTTCTCTTCTGCTCTGCTCTGTTCTCACTGTGGATATCCAGGAAACCGGCCTGAAACATGCAGTCTGCTGGGTAGTCTCAGAGGAGTGATTTGGGACATTCATGGACCAAGGAGGAAAGGATCCCAGGAATAAAATTACAAGATGTTTCTTTCATGAGAATGACACACACCTCCATACGAGCACTAAAGGTGTCCACAGGGATGTTATGAGGTGTCCATGCAGCCTGGTTGTTAAGATGTGGTCCACATGATCTCCTTCACTTGCCCAAAAGGAGTTAATGTTTTTTTCTTCTTCTCTCAGGCAACCTGCTCCTGTTTCCAGTTGCTGGCCCCTTGGACCAGCACCTCCAAAGCAGTTGCTGCCACTCAAGACCTTCACACCCTCCATTTGGTTATGAGCACCATAACCACGTGGAACCATAGGACTTGTGATTAGGGCAATTTCTGAATAAATGGCAACCTACATGTTCTTTTACTTGAATGTGAATCCATTAAAAGTTTCATACTATTTTGTGTTGTCACCCTTTCCTCTTTACAGCGTCCATACACATGGAACTTTTCAGGACTGTGACTACCCACTTGAAGACCATGGTAATGCATACTCTTTGGTCATTTCAAGCTCATCTGTGGAATGTTTTTCTGCTTAGCTTCTATTCTTGTATCTTTACAGATTTTGTCTCCTTCATTTAATGTCTGTTGTGGTTAACAATCTTTATTGATTGCTCACATGAACTAGAGAACACACAGTGATCAGGACAGGTGAGTTCAGCAGTTAACCTGCGCTTCAAAGACCTGTTCTACCTCTCTTGTTCCAATGCCCTGGTAACATCTGCTTTGTGAACAGGCTATTGGCCTACAGACCCTCTTCCTGTGCTGAGAGCAGCTTCCTTCTCAGAGAAAGTGCTGGAAAGGAGAAGTTTATGTAAAGAAAGGAAGTGACTTTGAAGTGCTGTGTTCAAACTGCTGGCACAGAAATAGACAGCGGAATAGTTCATCTTCACAGATAAAATAGCCAAGGAGAAGTCTGAGAGGTTTGGCCGTTGAGCTTTGTATCCAATATGGAAGTCACCCTCAAATTCTTGATTTGGACCTACGGAATAATAGATCAGTTGCAGCCCCTTCCCTGGCTGCTGCAGATACCAGTACATAGAAGGGTGATTATCATTTTGACTGCATGTCAGAGTAGTTTTGTCATCTTCTTTCAGCACAAGACTGGAGGTTTGGGTGATTCCAGCTCCTATAAGACAAAGCAGAACAGAAACATATTAGAACAAATAAGCTACATTCTCCCAGCAGCAGAGCAGCTCTCATGGCTTTACTGATTCCTTACTTGCTCCAAAGAAGCACAAGGACACACACCAAGCTGTCCACATCCTCATTTCTCCCCCAATAGTCAGTGTGTGTGCCCTTACAAGGGCCTTATATAGGTCCATCTCACATGCTTCTCCTAAACCAATGGCATCCACCTCTGTAACAGCTAAATCTGTGCCGAAAACCATACTCCTACATGGAGCAAATTTCAAGCACTTTCAATTCAGTGTTTGTTGGAAACACACAGAAAATTTCAAAGAGACTCAGACTCTTTTTGGACAGTGTATTAATCATACGTGAAGAGTAAAATGGGTTAAAAGTTCAAGGGGAATATATGGATTTAACTCCCATGTTGTCAGTGTTTCAAGACAGGATTTCAATCCAGATGAACCAACTCTCTAGTACACTGTGCTGTTGCGTATCACAAAGTAAACACATTGCTCCCTACAGCTTCCTAAAGAAGAGAAAGGGGAGAGGGAGGTGCTGATCTCTTCTCCCTGGTGTCCAGGTAGGATGCATGGGAATGGTTCAAAGCTGGGTCAGGAGAGGTTCAGACTTGACTTTAGGAAACATTTCTTTACCAAGCGGGTGGCAAGCACTTGAACAGGGGCTTCCCTGAATGGTGGCTGATGGCAACGGCTCGTCGGTTTATAAGAGTTGTTTGCACAATGCCGTTAATGATGTGCTTTAACTTTTGATAAGCCCTGAAGTGATCAGGCAGTTGGACTGGATGATCCCTGTAGGCCCCTTCCAACTGAATTCTGTTCTTTTCTATCCTGTTCTCTTCTGCTCTGCTCTGTTCTCACTGTGGATCTCATAGAAAGTGGCCTTAGACATGCAGTCTGCTTCTTAGTCTATCAAGAGTGATTTGGGACATTCATGGACCAATGGGGAAAGTAATCCAGGAATAAAATTACAAGATGTTTACCTGATGATAATGACACACACCTCCATAAGAGCACTAAAGGTGTCCACAGGGATGTTAGGAGTTGCCCACGCAGCCTGGTTGTTAACATGTGGTCCTGCTATTCCCCTTCACTTGCCCAATATGAGTTAATGTTAATGTTTTTTCTCCTTTTTCTCTAGGGCACCCTGCTCCTGTTTCCCGTTCCTTGCCCAATGACCCAGTGGCATCCACACCAGTTGCTGCAACTCAGGGCCTTCACTCCCTCCATTTGATTATGAACATCAGAATCTCATGGGCCCATAGGACTTGTGATTAGGGCAATCTCTGAATAAATGGCAATCTAAATGTTATTTTTCTTGAATGTGAATTCATTCTAAGTTCCATACTGATTTGTGTTTTCTCCCTTTCCTCTTTACAGCCTGCATATGCATGGAAATTTTCAGGACTGTGTCTACGCACTTGCAGACCATGGTAATGTATCCTCTTTTGTCATTTCAAGCTCATATGTGCCATGTTTGTCTGCTTAGTTTTTATTATTGTGTCTTTGCCCTTTCTATCTCCTTCATTTTATGTCTGCTTTTGGTTAACAATCTTTATTGATTGCTCGCATGAGATAGAGAACCCACAGTGATCAGGACAGGTGAGTTCAGCAGTTAACCTGAACTTCAAAGACCTGTTCTACCTCTCTTGTTCCAATTCCCTGGTAACATCTGGTTTTGAACAGGCTATTGGTCTACAGACCCTCTTCCTGTGCAGAGAGCAGCTCCTCTCTGAAAGAACGTGTTGGGAAGGAGAAGTTTATGTAAAGAAAGGAAGTGACTTTGAAGTGCTGTGTTCAAACTGCTGGCACAGAAATAGACAGCGGAATAGTTCATCTTCACAGATAAAATAGCCAAGGAGAAGTCTGAGAGGTTTGGCCGTTGAGATTTGTATCCAATGTGAAAGTCACCCTGAAATTCCTGATTTGGACCTGTGGAATAATAGATCAACTGCAGCCCCTTCCCTGGCTGCTGCAAATACCAGAACATGGCAATGTGATTATCATTTTGACTGCATGTCAGAGTAGTTTTGTCATCTTCTTTCAGCACAAGACTGGAGGTTTGGGTGATTCCAGCTCCTATAAGACAAAGCAGAACAGATACATACTAGAACAAATAAGCTACATTCTCCCAGCAGCAGAGCAGCTCTCACAGCTTTACTGATTCCTTACTTGCTCCAAAGAAGCACAAGGACACACACCAAGCAGTCCACATCCTCATTTCTGCCCCAATAGTCAGTGTGCGTGCCCTTACAAGGGCCTTATATAGGTCCATCTCACATGCTTCTCCTAAACCAATGGCATCCACCTCTGTAATAGCTAAATCTCTGCTGAAAACCAAGCTCTTTCCTGCAACAAATTTCAAGCACTTTAAATGGCTTGTGTGTTGGAAACCCACATTAAGTTTCAAAGTGGCTCTGACTCTTGTTCTATCAGACAGTGCATTATCATACATGAATAACAAAATGGATTAAATGCTCAAGAAGAGTATCTTTATTGAACTCCCATGTTCTCAGTGTTTCAAGACAGGATTTGAATCCGCATGAGCTGTCTAGTACACTATGGTGTTATGTTTCACAAAGTAACCTCATTGCTCTCCAAGCTTCCTAAAGAAGAGAAAGGGGAGAGGGAGGTGCTGATCTCTTCTCCCTGGTGTCCAGATACGATGCATGGGAATGGTTCAAAGCTGGGTCAGGGGAGGTTCAGACCTGACTTTAGGAAACATTTCTTTACCAAGCGGGTGGCAAGCACTTGAACAGGGGCTTCCCTGAATGGTGGCTGATGGCAATGGCTTGTCAGTTTTTAAGAGGCGTTTGCACAATGCTGTTAATGATGTGCTTTATCTTTTGATAAGCCCTGACGTGATCAGGCAGTTGGACTGGATGATCCCTGTAGGCCCTTTCCAACTGAATTCTGTTCTGTTCTATCCTGTTCTCTTCTGCTCTGCTCTGTTCTTACCGTGGATCTCATAGAAACTGGCCTTAGATATGCAGTCTGCTGGGTAGTCTCAGAGGAGTGATTTGGGACATTCATGGACCAAGGGGGAAAGAAACACAGGAATAGAATTACAAGATGTTTATTTGATGATAATGACACACACCTCCATAAGAACACTAAAGGTGTCCACAGGGATGTTATGAGCTGCTCATGCAGCCTGGTTGTTAAAATGTGGTTCAGATGTCCCCCTTCACTTGCCCAATATGAGTTAATGTTTTTTCTCCTTTTTCTTTAGGGCACCCTGCTCCTGTTTCCCGTTCCTTGCCCAATAACCCAGTGGCATCCACACCCAGTTGTTGCCAATCAGGATCTTCACTCCCTCCATTTGATTATGAGCATCATAATCTCATGGGCCCATAGGACTTGTGATTAGGGCAATTTCTGAATAAATGGCAATCTACATGTTATTTTCCTTGAATGTGAATCCAGTCTAAGTTCTGTACTATTTTGTGCTGTCTCCCTTTCCTCTTTACAGCCTCCATACACATGGAACATTTCAGGAATGTGTCTGTGCACTTGCAGACCATGGTAATAGCAACTCTTTTGTCATTTAAAGCTCGTATGTGCCATGTTTGTCTGCTTAGCTCCTGTTCTTGTACCTTTGCAGTTTCTGTCTCCTTCATTTAATGTCTGCTTTTGGTTAACAATTTTTACTGATTGCTCGCATGAGAGAGAGAACCCACAGTGAACAGGACAGGTGAGTTCAGCAGTTAACCTGCACTTCAAAGACCTGTTCTACCTCTCTCGTCCCAGCATCCTGGCAACATCTGGTTTGTGAACAGGCTCTGGGCCTACAGACCCTCTTCCTGTGCTGAGAGCAGCTTCCTTCTGAGAGAAAGTGCTGGAAAGGAGAAGTTTATGTAAAGAAAGGAAGTGACTTTGAAGTGCTGTGTTCAAACTGCTGGCACAGAAATAGACAGCGGAATAGTTCATCTTCACAGATAAAATATCCAAGGAGAAGTCTGAGCGGTTTGGCCGTTGAGATTTGTATCCAATGTGGAAGTCCCCCTCTAATTCCTGATTTGGACCTGGAGAATAATAGATCAATTGCAGGCCCTTCCCTGGTTGCTGCAAATACCAGAACATAGAAAGATGATTATCATTTTGACTGCATGTCAGAGTAGTTTTGTCATCTTCTTTCAGCACAAGACTGGAGGTTTGGGTAATTCCAGCTCCTAAAGGACAAAGCAGAACAGAAACATATTAGAACAAATAAGCTACATTCTCCCAGCAGCAGAGCAGCTCTCATGGCTTTACTGATTCCTTACTTGCTCCAAAGAAGCACAAGGACACACACCAAGCTGTCCACATCCTCATTTCTGCCCCAATAGGCAGTGTGCCTGCCCTTACAAGGGCCTTATATAGCTCCATCTCATATGCTTCTCCTAAACCAATGGCATCCATCTCTGTAACAGCTAAATCTCTGCTGAAAACCAAGCTCTTTCCTGCAACAAATTTCAAGCACTTTAAATGGCTTGTGTGTTGGAAACCCACATTAAGTTTCAAAGTGACTCTGACTCTTGTTCTATCGGACAGTGCATTATCATACGTGAATAACAAAATGGGTTAAATGATCAAGAAGAGTATCTTTATTAGAACTCCCATGTTGTCAGTGTTTCAAGACAGGATTTGAATCCGCATGAACCGTCTAGTACGCTATGGTGTTATGTTTCACAAAGTAACTCATTGCTCTCTAAGCTTCCTAAAGAAGAGAAAGGGGAGAGGGAGGTGCTGATCTCTTCTCCCTGGTGTCCAGATAGGATGCATGGGAATGGTTCAAAGCTGGGTGAGGGGAGGTTCCGACTCCCTCCATTTGATTATGGGCATCATAATCTCATGGGCCCATAGGACTTGTGATTAGGGCAATTTCTGAATAAATGGCAATCTACATGTTATTTTCCTTGAATGTGAATCCAGTCTAAGTTCTGTACTATTTTGTGCTGTCTCCCTTTCCTCTTTACAGCCTCCATACACATGGAACATTTCAGGAATGTGTCTGTGCACTTGCAGACCATGGTAATAGCAACTCTTTTGTCATTTAAAGCTCGTATGTGCCATGTTTGTCTGCTTAGCTCCTGTTCTTGTACCTTTGCAGTTTCTGTCTCCTTCATTTAATGTCTGCTTTTGGTTAACAATTTTTACTGATTGCTCGCATGAGAGAGAGAACCCACAGTGATCAGGACAGGTGAGTTCAGCAGTTAACCTGAACTTCAAAGACCTGTTCTACCTCTCT